CCGCCGGACCTCGCCGGAGCCCGAGCCGAGGTAGCCGCCCGCCACCCCGGTTTTCTAAGAAAAACCGATCCGGTTTTTTTAGAAACCCTAGGTTTATTTTTTTATTGGTTTTATCGGTTCTTTTATTTAGCGAGCGTTCGCTCGTTCGTTCGTTTTAACGAACGCGTTCACCATTTAGTTTCAGATAACGAACGTTTCGTTCGTTAATCTGTTCGTCAGTTTTTCTTTTTCTTGGCTTTCTGCGATTATTTCCGATCGCGATTTCTGATCCGATTTTCGTTTTAGTTTATCTTTTCGCTCATTTATTGGAATCAGGCGATTCAAGCGCCTGGAGTTTCGTCTCGAAACCCTCTTTCAGTTTAACCAACTCAAACAAGTTTTTGCAGCTATAAAATTTGACTTAAATCCAGATTAGTAAACGAAGTTTGTTTCTTTCGTTGTTTGACTTTCGTTGTTTCGTTCGATTCAATTCTTTTTGCAAACCGGAGTTCTTAAGTTGAACTTTCTAATTAGATTTCTTATTTGAGTTTTACCCAGGCATTAGATGAGTACTTATTGTATGCTTGTTTGTTTGCGACAGAGTATCCGGAGTGCGCCGCTTGCTACTTTGAATCTCTAGGTTTCGCGGATCATCAGCAAGGCGAGTAACACTTTGATCATATCCCTTTCATACCCAGTTTTACGCATTAGATCAATCCTCAAACAATTGCATGATTGGGATCTAATTAAATTGTGTTTTGGGAAGTAGATGAGGTAGTACCTATTACCTGTTTTATTATCAAACCCTTGGGAGTTACTTCTACGTTTGCTTATTATGCCATGCTAGGATTGGGTGAGTGTATCCATCACAGATGTGAGATTGATAAATTAATGGATTATTTAAGGTGGCAACTTAAACACATATCTTGGTGGATTGAGGCACCTGGGTATTCCAGCGATTGCCTGTTTTTCTTTGTGGACCGCCACCTAGGCTCAAAGGGATCATGAGATTATTCATACTAGAAACTTTTGTGTGCAACCACAAGCTACTATGGGCTCTAGCATAGTTGACTAAGTCGTGCGAACTCTTACAGTGGTAGACTAGCAGATCTAGGGGATGTAGGTTGGTACTGTCTACCCGATCGTAAGGTGCTAGAACTTCTGAAAAACTATGTCTCGGACATCCGTTTCTCAAACATCATGCAGTGCGAGAATCCCAACGAAGGAGATCGAGTCTTGTGGGGAAAAGTGCGCAAACCTCTGCAGAGTGTATAAACTAATCATGGTTAGCCGTGTCCCCGGTTATGGACGTCTTGAGTATCTAGTACTTGGATTATCATGTGAATCTTATCATGTTACTTTAATTAATATTGTTGGGTTTTAATGATGATACTTAATTGGGATTGAGAGGATGTCTATCTTCTCAATGTTTTAACAACCACCATGATAGTTAAATAAAATTTATTTCTTTGCGGTAGGGAAAAATTGGCTTTATGCAAAAACTGTAACCATGGAGCTTTCCACCAGCCATATATGCATGTAGTATAGCTTTATTCTTTCATTACTCTCTATGTGTTACATTGCCAGCATATTCCATGTGCTGACCCGTTTTCGGGCTGCAACGTTCATGTTGCAGACTTTTCAGACGACGAGTAAGGAGCCTTTAGGTCGTGGTTCTATACTCAGTGATGTCGTTGGAGTTGATGGACTCAGTTATCTTCCAAGCCTTCCGCTGTTATCGTTATTAGATGGACTTAAGCAATATTTATTGTAATAAGTTCTCTTTTGAGACATTCGATGTACTAAGTGTGTGATTGCTACTCTGTTATAAATCCTTCAAGTACTGTGTGTGTCAGCATTACTGATCCAGGGATGACACTAAAGCACAGGGATCGGATTGTTTGAGGTCTGGTCGCTACAAGATGGTATCAGAGCCCACGCTGACTGTAGGACACGACCACTAAGCTAAAAGCCCTAGATCACTACTCACTCTGCTCATTTCTGACTCCTCATCTTTTCTACTCTTTTAGGATGGCGGATGCAAGGAACAAGTTCATGCAACCGGATGAAGATACACCCTTTGGACGTCACTTGAAGGAAGTCACTAGATACCCGAACATTGGAGTACCAAGCTTCACCGGGACCTACAACGCCACTTTACCTGAAGAGGAACGCTGGATGATTCAAGTTCAAGTTCCAGGAAGGACATTCATGCCCGTCACTGAGCCCATAGAGTTTTCCTTTGATGCACCAACCTGGAGTCTAGGGAAGAGCATGGCAGCCCACATCACTATGGGGCGCATTGGAGAAGTTTACCACAAGGATCTCAAGGATACTATCTACCAGATTTGTGGGCGCCGAGATGAGCAATGGGAGATGATCAGCACCAGGAAGGATAGATCAATTGCAGCTTTCATCCAGGAGTTAAACCAGCACATTCGATGCCAGGAGAACCAGATGTGTGCAGACATGATAGACCTGAAGAAAGCCATGACCAAGATCACGGAGCTGGAGGAAGAACTCAAGTCTACACTCGATGGATATGAGGAGGAAATAGCAACACTAGTAGAGAAGAATGATGATCTGAAGAAGA